CCCTGACTTTAAGGCTGGATCCGCCCCTGGCTTTGCCCGCCAAAAATAACGATTTGTGCAAAATATTCAAACATGCGTTACCTGGAAAATCTTCTCTGGATGTTTGTCGCACAATTCCATAAACAACTGTCCAATTGTTTTCATTATTTTCGGGCTTTTACTGGCAGGGCCCCTGAAAATGCCATCACCATTCATCGGTTGGATTGAAGCCATTTTTAAATCTTAAAAGCCGCAATGCCGAATGGACACAACTGCTTGGTACTCGCCAAAGACTACAAACAATTGTCTACTTCAAATACTCGTTGGTCTGAGGTCTAAATATAGAATTGCTAAGAAATGTACATATGCAGATACGCGCAAAACGAAATAACGAGTTTCAATATTTAAAAAATATGTATGTATTCTAAAGCCGCTCTCGCTAGGAATGCTATTCTTGAAAGCAAAATGCATACATGTCTATTTTTTCCAAAGTATTATTGAAAACTTATAGGTATATTGTGATGAATGATCACAGCACTGTGCGTTTGGTTTACAATGCATAAAATGTAACTTACTTAAATGGTAGGTAGTGTGTTTTATACTACTTACAGTAGTGGTCGTGGGTAAAGAAAATAACTTTATAAACTTACTCTCTCTATGAATATACTAGCATAGACCGCCGATCTAAAAACCCCCACCATAAGCCATTTAATCAGATTAACACATCAATCTAAATCACATGATAAGATAAATGAAAGCGTTTCGCGCTCTAAAATTATGTCACAATTATTAATCAAACAACAAGGTCGACGCACTCAATGTGTGTTCACAAATTGATTGTTTACTAAACTTCAGTGGCTTTTTGTAAATGAAGTTGAACTTAAATATTATTGCTTATTGACCAAATGACCCCTCCCAATCTTATCTACACTTGTTAAGGTATTTTTAGACAATCAATTACATAATTTTTAATGTAAACTCACATTTTATGCTCTCTACTCCTTAACCGTAAGGGCAGGGCACGATATTGATTTCAGTGGTATAAGCGATCGTGCCCTAGCTGCTCTATCTCTGTCCAGAGCATTTGAGCTCAGTTAGAGTCCGCTCGCAAAAAGCGTTTTCCTTCTGTGTGGTGCTAAGATACAGGCGAGGTTTTCGCAATTTTTTGGACAATTTAAATAAAAATCTTTTAGAAGTTTAAGTTAGTTGAATAACTCCAAAGTACTCCTCCGATTTAAACGATCCATATGCGAAAATTTGACAAATTAGATCCGTTTTATTTGTGCTATTGGGCGTTTTCAACTGGATCCAACCGCAAAGGTTCGTCAAAATGTGATTATAAAAAAATGCTTAAATTTTAAAAAAATGGTTAAATGGATAATTCTAGAAAGTAAAAAACATGGTCCCCACAAGGAGCTTCAATTGACACAAGGAAGATTCATTTATTGTCTGAATGCTCGTAATAATGTTCTACAAATTAACATTAGGTTTTCCAAGCTTCAACTCTGCGTAGACTCTTCCTGCATTTTTTTGGAAAACTCCTTCCTTATACGAGCCCTTTGCACTTTTCCTGTTTGGGTTTCATAAGGAATCTGCTCCCGTATCCAAACTTTGGCCCTAATTTTATTCTTTTCGGACAACCTGGCGTTGGCAAACGCTTTAATCTCTTCCGCACTACTCTCAAAGCCTGGCTTAAGTGTTACAATCGCTGCTGCATGGTTTCTGTCTCGTTCATGGAACACATTGAAGACAACTGCGTTTTTCACTGCCGCATGCTCAAGCAGAACTCTTTCTATGCTCAGGGGGCTCACCTGATACGTTTTGTATTTAAAGGTGTCGTTGATGCGATCCGTAACAAAAAGGTAGTTGTCGCTGTCGAAAAATCCCAAGTCGCCTGTTTTTAAAAATCCGTTTTCATCAAAGGGGGACTTGGGGATGACGATACACTTTTCATAGTAGCCTTTCATCATGTAGGGGCTTCTGACTAATATTTCGCCAACTTTGTTGGCCGGCAACAAGCAGCGCGTTTCGAGATCAACAATCTGGAAACCTCTAGTTATTAGGGCCTTTCGCTGACTCACTCGACTTACCTTGACTTCAACGTCGGCCACCAGTTTACCTGATGAGAGAATTTTCTCCTCGTACGCCTTGAAGTCTTGCAAGTCAAAAGCCGAGATAGCAGTACATTCTGTGGAACCGTAAATCATAGTTACTTTAGTCTGAGGCAGAGTTGCTCTCATTTTCCTCAATTGGGAGGCATCCATTGGGGAACCTGCAACCGCTATAGAGTAAAGTGATGAGGTATCATGTTGGGCGATTATTTCTGCTGGGAGTTTCGTGATGTCGTAGGTGTAGGTGTTAGGCATAAACGCGAATGTGATCTGGAACATATATATTTTGAGCAACTGCGCTACTGAGCAATTGGTCGCCTTCGTTTATTACCTGGTATTTCTCTATATATTCCAGAAGGTTTAGGGCAGGTATTTTAGGAGCGATCACTTTGGTGCCTCCATGGGACAGCGTCACTCCAGTGAGGAGAATCGCTGAGATCCAATAGAGAGATGTGAAATGGGTTATTACTTCCGGGTTCAGGTTGTCCATTTCACTAAACAGGTTTATATTTCAAGCGATTTTGTTGGTGAGATTAAAGAATGCACTCACTCTACCAGGCATTTGAAGCCGTGAAGAACTCCATAATGGGACAAAGCCACCGGTTTTGGAAGGCTGGTAGTGCCGCTGGTGAACACGTAAATGGCAGTATCGAACGAATCCTGTGCTTGTAGGAATCATGGTTTATTTACTCGTAGGATCATTTCTAGTTATTCTCACCTGGGGGTGAAGTTGGAAATTGTTTTCTTCTGGGCAAGGCAGTGCAAAGTCCTCTATTCGCTCAACATCCCCATCAATCTTCTCGTCAGCCCCAATAACAAAAAACGCCACTTGATACCTTTGGTTATTCTTCGCCTCCAGTTCCTTGTGGGCTTCTTTTAGCATTCCAGCAGACTTTTTTTCTGGGCAAGAGAAGGGAGCTTGATCCCTGTTTTGAGTTTTTCAAGTTCGTCCTACCAGTGAAAATAATTTTCGGTTCGCTATACGCTAAAGCGCCCGCCATTTCCTCGACGCTTTCCATCGGATCTATCGATGCAGCACTTCCTCCCAGGAAAATGGTGGCCAATATGGGGATTATGTTGTGAATGGTGTTCTCCGAACAAACCATTGTGGTGTCTCCAGGTTGCACCAAATTGCGTTTTTTAAGGGCGCAAGCCAGTCGCACGGCCCGTTGTTTGGCATGAGCGTAGCTTTCTTTTTCCCCAGTGTCGGCTTCGATCTAGGACAGTGATTTTGTGTTAGAGACGTTATTTAAGCGTCATTCAATTCAATTTTTCAATTTAAACGTAGAGGTACAAACTGAATTTTTAGTTAAGGCTTGCTTTAATGTATAGAAAATAATTAATCAATTGCTCAACCGTGATTATCAAAATCTCGAGCTGAAACTTGTTGAAGAGTTAAAGTTAAAGTAGGGCTTTGCCCCCCAAAAATAACGATTTGTGCAAAATATTCAAACATGCGTTACCTGAAAAATCTTCTCTGGATGTTTGTCGCACAATTCCATAAACAGCTGTCCAATTGTTTTCATTATTTTCGGGCTTTTACTGGCAGGGCCCCTGAAAATGCCATCGCCAGTCATCGGTTGGATTGAAGCCATTTTTAAATGTTAAAAGTCGCAATGCCGAATGGACACAACTGCTTAGTACTCGCCAAAGACTGCAAACAATTGTCTACTACAAATACTCGCTGGTCTAAGGTCTAGATATAGAATTGCTAAAAAATGTACATATGCAGATACGCGCAAAACGAAATAACGAGTTTCAACATTTAAAAAAATATGTATGTATTCTAAAGCCGCTCTCTCTAGGAATGCTATTCTGGAAATCAAAATGTAAGTATACGTTTATTTTTTCCAAAGTATTATTGAAAACATATTTTAAATCAAGGGCATGAATACGTTAACAATTAGTAGAAACTAGGTGTTTTTGGTAGATCTCAAACGAAGAGGTTTTTGGGACAGTAGTTGAGAAACGTGTTTTCTTATAGTGTATTACATAATAAGAGTTGTGAAAAGCACTTTACGTACGATCGGAAAAGTTGCGCAAGTTGCCGCGAAGCTGCGATTACCGTGTGCGAACGTGATTGCGTTACAACTCGAATAATGTACAATACTTTACCTACGACCGTAATAACTTACTAAAACTAAAACCCACATTTGTATATTTTTAAATATGTTAATTGTGACAACGACTAACAAGTCGACAGCAGACCAGAATTGCAAATTAAAACGCCATACGTTCATAAACATTCAATATTAGAAATATTTTCCCGAAAAGTTTTAATGTTGTTTGCGGACAAAATCTTGAATTTCTTGCTTTTAAAACCATGCCTCACTTTTCAATAGGATAAGTATTTTGCAATAAGTTACAATGTGTTTATATATTGTGAAGAATGATAACAGAACTGTGCGCTAAGTTAATTGGATGGTAGGTAGTGTGATTTATACTACTTTCAGTAGTGGTTGTAGGTAAAGAAAATAACTTCATAAACTTACCCTCTCTATGAGTAGACTGGCATAGTTCGCCGATGTAAAACTTCCCACCATAAGCCGTTCAATCAGAACAACACATCAATCTCAAGCCCATGATAAGATAAATTAAAGAGTTTGGCGATGTTGAATTATGCCACAATTATTATTCAAACAACGAGGTCGTGTTCACAAATTGAGTGTTTACTAACCTTCAGTGGCACTTTGTAAATGAACTTGAACTTGAACTTAAATATTATTTTTTGTTGAGCTAATAACCCCTCACAATCTGATCTACATGCTAAGAACGCAAAGTTTACAAATTAAATCCGTTTTATTTGGGCTATTAGGCGTTTTCAAATCGCTCCAACCGCAAACGAGTTAAGAGCAAAAAAGTGCCAAAAACCTTCAAAAGCCGCCATAACTGCAAAGTTCTCCATTCGATTTAAACGATCCAAATGACAAATTAATTTAAAATTATGCAAAATTATTAATGTTTTGAAATTTGGCCCACGAATTAAGGAGCCGATTGTGGACGAACAAACGTGGAAAAATTTAGTCGACCTAAAAGGCTCTCTCGTTAATCGCTCGGATGGATTGGGTTGCCAAGAAATAATTTTTCGGGAAATAAAATACGGGGAAATATGGGACATTTCTATCGTAACTGCTTTGGATTTTAAAAACCCCATTTCATTCAATGAAAATGTATTCCATTCCATAACATTTTGAATCTTCAATATGATTCAAAGTCAATTTGGTCAAAGTTGCAAAAGCTTATGCTACTTTTAAACGGTATGCGTTACTAAAGCGAAGTTTGGGAAGCTCGTCAGGCTATCAAATATTGCAATATTTCAACAAATTAACGGTAAACTCAAAATCTAATCAAATAAAATATTGCAGTAATAAAACAAAGTCTACCTAACCACCTCGGTTGAGAAGGCTATTAAATTAAATTAATCTAGCTTAAATAATCTAATATCACTTCTAACATGTCTCACTCTTTTTCCTCAATATTTGTTCTTGTAAATTGAATATTTCGTCCCGAAGTCCGTTCAAGTGGCTTTGCAAACCACCTATAACTGCTTTATCCGACGTGCCCGAACATTTTTGCAACAGTTGGTTAATCGATGTATCATCCCAGTTTCCTACAGGCAATCTGTCATCCAGAAACCTCGAGCGGCTTTTCAAAACATGATTATCTGAGCTGAACAATCGAATTTGTTCCTGCAGTTTCTAAAATCATAATGTTTTAAAGCATGCAGCATTTGATGGTGGGTGGTAAGGTAATTACTGATATTGGCTACACATACCTGATTACGGCCCATACATGAATTTAGAGACAATTTCAAATCCCTAGAAATCCGGTGAAGGAAAGACCTATCATTATGCAAGACTTGAATAATGGTTTGCAAGCTTTGCATCTTGCTCTTATAATCAGCAATGTGCTTTTGAAAAGTCGTGTTCTCCTCAAAAAGTCGGTTTTGCAAGCCGTCAACCTGTTGCTGTAACTCTTGACAAAATTCAACAAAGCGATGAAAATTAGAAGAGTGTGTCTGCAAGACATAAACAATTAAAAGAGACGAATCTATATATTATACGTATTAAATCAATACGCACTTGTAGTTCAGTTGAGTGAATCTCATTCCGATTTGCACAGTCTGCTAATTTTGCGTTTAATTTTTCATTTTTCTCCGAGTATTTATCAGCATTTACTAACTGACTTTGCAGCTTTTCAAGCAGTTCTTGTTGTACATTTTCCATGTTTTTACCTTCATTTTCCGAGCTTAATGTGACAATTTGTTGTTGTTGAGACAAAACTTTAGTTTCTAATACGTTATTCTATAGAAATTAGCAAAAGGTCATCGTTAACAATTATTCAAAATAAATACAAGTATTACCTTGCTTTGGAGTAGTTCTACATCCTTCTTTGCTTGGTCCAATTCTGCTTCCAGACACTGATTATTTTCCTGCAATTTCATACATTTCCAGCAGGTCTGGATCTTCCTTAACTGATACTCTAAAATTACTATTGAGGTTCTTTGCTTCTCAGACTCTACCTTAAAGTCTTCACACAATTCTTGTAAAGTCTTCAATTCAGAGTCTCTCGAATTTAAAAGCATCTTTAGATTATTGCGGTCGCATGCAAGATGGTTATATAATTCTTGAAGCTGTTTTAACTGTTTCTCCGCAGCATTTCTACCTCTCATGTGTTCTTTAACCTTTCTTAAAAGAATTCGATTGTTTGTGTCCATTCTACAAAAAAATCCATGGCAAAGTTTATATGAGCGTAGATCTCTTTATAGCTAGGCCTTCTTTGAATTGTTTTGAGTTTGATATTGCAATTTCTTGCTCTAATATTGTCTGTTCGCATTATTATTCAATTGTACTTGTCGGATAAATGTGACAAATAGGAAAAAAATAATCCTGTGGATTGTTGCAAGCAATTTTTCAAGCAAGAAAAGTTGAACAAAACTAAATCCATCGTGGTGATAAAGTCAACAATTATTCTAAATACTCACTTTCTTCGCTTTTCCTGTATTTCTCTTTCCTTCACTTGTAGAAGAATGTTTAACTCTTTAATTTTATTTATCTGTAATTTATCAGCACTGTCGTATTCAGGATTCAATCTTCTTCCATACACATTTATCGGGTCCGCTAGGTATTCCAATGTTGTATCCATCCCTTTCTCAAACCCCTCAATATGAAGTTTTGCAATACAGTTTTTCCTGTTGTGGAAAGGAGGTAAAGATGTGCTGGTTACATCAACATTTGACTTAAAACTGTTTGGAAACGGCTGATTGTTGAATAGAAGTTCAACCTTCTGATCATCGGTAATTCGTTCCAAATTGTGCTGTGAAAAAGCATCCATATTTAAATTCGTTAATTCAAGAACGGATAGGCTCCTTTCACTAGTTGCATTGTCGCATTTGTGATGGGAATGTGGCGATCTCATTTTCGATGATGTTCTAGGTGTCTCTTGGGGAAATTGTCGTTTTTCACCTATGATTTTTATTTTCACCAGTTCATCCTTTAATTCTTTGATACTTGATTCACAAGATTCATTATCCTTTCTTAGGCGGGCAATGAGAGTTTCTAGTTTATTTTGCCTCAGTTTGCATACAGACCAATTGTCCATAACTTCTCGATTGTTCTCTTTAAGGGTGGCAAGTTCTGTAGTTTTTAAATACAGTTCATTTTTTACCTGAAATATGTCGTATGTATAAATATGATAAAAAATTGTGTTTTTCGTGGTTCTTTCAGTGAAAATCGATCCAAAGTAATAACAATACTTATATGTAGTGTGTGCAATCACTGTTAATAAAATTAATTTACTTACTTTTTGATGAATTTTGTTCAATCCTATCAACTGGTCCCTGATGGCTTCTATACAGTTTTCCACATTTGCATTTTCTCTTTTCCTGTGGTGCAGCTTCACTTCCAAAATCAATAAGCTTTTTTTAAGTTGTTGATTTTCCGAAAGTTGTTCTTTGTTTTTGCTTCTCAAACATTCCACTTGGACTATCAAGTCATCCTTCGAGCATGTTAATAGTTTAATATCTAAATCTTTTTGCGTAAGAATTGTTTCCAAACTCAAATTCATAGCAATTGTAGCGGAATGTTTACATTTTAAATTGTCCAGGCTTCTGTGGTTATCCAGATTCGCTGCTCTGATTTGGCCGATTTCTTCCTTCAACTCTGCAATGGTTTGAATATAAACATATTCTTGAGATGCGGTGTTATTTAACACCGCACTCTTTTCTACCGAATCTGCGCAACTTGCAAGCTGTTCACATTTCTTAATGTCGAAAGGCAATGATATAATAGGGGTAGCCAGTTTTTCATTTGAGGCTTCAATCAATTGTTCGTATTCATTTTTGCATTGGATTAGATCGGCAGTTAAGCCCGAAATCTGATTTATGTAATCGGCGATTTCGCTCTTGCAAGTTATTAACTCCCCATGGAACTTTGACTTAGCATGTTGGCATCCAGCCAACTGTTTCTTGTACCAAATTCTTGATCTGTACGAATCTAAAAGTCTTGCGTTTAAAACGTTTTGAGTAAATTTCAAATTGCTGACATATTTTAGCAGATTTTCATTTGCTACATGCAGCTCGCAAACTTTCTCCTTCAAGGAATTAATTGATTTCAGTTGAATGTCCCTTTCCAATGTGCATTCCTCCAAACTAACTTTCAAATGTGCGTTTTCTCTATTTAATTCGTCTCGCTCCTGTTGAGTTGCAGCAGATTGTTTCCGCAATTTGGAATACTGTAATTTTAACTGATAGTTTTCCTTTTCTAAATCCAATGTGCTTTGAAAAGCCTGCAAATTCTGTTTGTTTTGATAATTACGAATCAGGCGTTCAATTTGCTTGTTGGAGTTTTCCAGCTCTAACTCTAATTGTCTATTTGTTTTGACTAGTTTCTGGATACGGTTTGCATTCTTACCGTTGCCTTGAAGGTATGTGACGGGCTCCTCATATTCCTTGGTTATTAAGTCTCTATCCGCCTCTGACGTTGAACTGGAAGCTGAAATTTGCTCATAGTGCTCTGAATCGTTGACTAACTGTTTCAATTCTGCAAATTCGGCTCCATATGCGCTCAAGCCCAATAAACTTGAAACATCTGATCGTAGACTGTCTAAACTATATGAACCATTTGATTCCACTTCGATATTATCCATAATCCATAATATTTCAACCAATTGGTGTCTATGCAGTTATAAATAAATATTACATACCTACTGTTTTCGAGTTTAGATCAATTAATTTTTCATTGGATAGAACTGTATGCGCGTTGTTTTCATGTGCTCACTAAAATGCAGCCCACATAATGTGCACTTTCTACTTAATCCTATGCATGGTCAAATCACTGTTATATTGTTACAAGTAGTAAAATGTTTAAAAACCTTTTACCTACTTTTCAACCTTCGTTTACTCTGTTGACAGCATCAAATGTCAGCTGTTTTTATTTTTCCTCGCCCTAACCATAACCATACTTGTCTTCATCTATGACCATAACCTACCAACTAAAATTGTGAGTTAAATTATTTATTATTTCTTAGTTTAGTGCAAGTTCTCCGGTTAATTTTTATTGGCACTTCTATTGCAAATTCTTAAATATAAGAAAACGAGGACGGAAGTGATTCTAGCACTAGTTTACCATGATTTTATCGCCCAAAGAGACAGGAAAGTACATTTGCGACCATGCAACCCATGTAAAATTGAATCCCAAAGGAATCGAGAAGTTAGGAGATATTTTAATAGAAGAAATCAATTCAGGGCACTTGAGACCTGATAATTTCAGTCAAACAGATTGTCATCCTAAACCGGGGGATCTCAATGCCGTAGATTGGATTTTTGTTGTCGACACTTTGAATTTCTGTTTTTGGCATTTTGAGGACAAGGAAGGCAAGTTTTCTCTAAAGTTATTTAGGTAATTATATAGGTGTTCAGTCTCGCATAGAAATAGAAAATCTCTTTACCAACAAGTTTTCTCAGTGATGCATTTTTGCGGAAAGGCGGTTTTCGATCACAACAGAAGGAAAAATTGTAATAAAATTAATGATGTACTTACTTATACTTACAGCATGGCAAGTGGAAGGCTATTCTGGATATTATGCATTATGTGCGGCGATTAAGAGAGCCATTAAGGAAGGAATCGACATTTTGAATCCCAATTTAACCGCTACGATTACTGAGGAACAATTAAGAAACGTGTTGCGCGGTGATACTGAAGTAGAAATTCCATTACTACCCGAAAGGGTGAGGTGCCTGCATGAAGTATCCCAGATACTCATTGATAAGTTTGCAGGATCATTCCGCAATGTAGTCATCACAGCTGAAAACAGTGCTAAAACATTGCTTTCACTAATCGTAAATAATTTCAGCTGTTTCAAAGATGAAGCCGTTTTCATGGATCGCCCTGTGTCCTTTTATAAAAGGGCACAGATATTGATTGGGGATATTTGGGCTTGCTTTAAAGGACAAGGCCTGGGATATTTTAAAGATATCGATGACGAAATGACAATGTTTGCGGACTACAGAGTACCACAAACTCTTCTTTGGTTTGGGGTTTTCGAGTATAGCAAACATTTAAGTGATAAATTAAAGCGAGATATTCTGAAAAATGGCGATATTGAGGAGCAAGAGATTAGAGGGTGTTCCATTCATGCTGTAGAGCTCTTGAAGGACTATGCCAATAAAAAACTTGCATCCAAGGCGACCAATTCGGTGTTGATTGATCATTTTTTGTGGGATTTTCGGCGGAAACATGCACAAGAAATTGCAAATATGGGACTACCGTTTCACAAAGTATTCTGCATATATTATTAGTGACTTATGTAAGACTTATGTTGTACATGTAAGCCAACAATCGCTAACCATTTTAGCTGAATATAGAGTTTTGCACTATATTTTTAATTACCTTTCTTTCAGAACTCTCTTAAACTTTCAGAACATTATTTGGGAGATAACTAATCCAAACTAACATATTTCTGGATAACTGAATGAAATTAAGTGTGCTTAAGTGCTAAGTGCACGTGAACCGCTGAAGAACTTGATTTAACAGTTTTCATTAGTCTATCAACACTGTCATAAAAGTTACATGCATATTTATAATTATTTTATTATTTAAGGATTTCCGTTACATATAATTCATAAAATGGGCAAGGGCCGAAACAAAATATCAGCTTTTATTCCCGAGTGGGGCAAAAACAATTTGACTGTATTCACTTAATACTATACGTATGTTCAACATTTTAAAGATAATTAGACTTGTGATTTATGTGATTTCTTTTTCTTTTCATGCTTATGCTTCTTGTGTTTACTCTTATGTTTTTTATGTTTCTTTTTCTTATTGTTATGGCTGTCGTCTTTCTCGACCCAGTCTTCTTCACTATCGCTTGATATCACAGTTGTTTCAGTTTTTTCGGGAACCAATAGCCGATCAGGAATCTTCGGTCCGTAGCTACCAACGTTGTTTTCTTCTGGCTGATCTGATTGGGTATGTTCGGACTGTGATTCAATCTCTTGTTGTTTCGGTTCAGGCTTTACGAACTGATGAAAACTGATTCCAGATAAAATGCCCTCTTTTAATGGCTTTATTTTCGGTATCAACTGATCGGATAAAACTGTTGATTTCAGTTCTTCTTTTCGGATATTTTCTTGAGTTTCATCTGAGCCGGTTGTGGACTTCTCGACTTCGTCGTCGTTTTCAGATTCACTATCGCTACTCATAAATATCGCTTTGAACAAATCCTGCTGCGTCTCTAAACCAATTTTCTCTGTAACATCTTTTGGTCTAGGAAGTTTGCTTGATTCAGCCTCTTCATTTTTAACTTCATTATTTTCTTTACTTTGATTGGAGTTTGCACTTTCATCTTTGATTAGTGAATTGCCTTCATTACTGGGTTGATCCGTTTCAGTTACAGTGTCTTCTTTATTTAGCCCTGGTTGCAAATTGAGCTCCTCAACGTGTTTTTGATATTCAAATATAATATTTTTTGTGCGAGTTCTAGATTTCTGTGGTCGGCTGAAAACAGAAATGATTATTAGGCATTGTTTTAGCAAATCATAAGAATGTATTTTTGCTAATTAGTAAACTTGAACGTTTTAACATATACATAGGTCCACACTTGAAAAGCTTTGTAATAATGACGCAGAAGTAGGAAACTCAATATAAGAAAGGAAAAATAATATACACAATGACTTACTCCGCAAAAGGTTCTGGCACATTAAACCTCTTACATAACAAGCCGCAAGGCGTCCAATCAATTGTCGTTCTGGTCAATGGTCCAAACATTTTCATTCGGACTGCTTCACGCATTTGATCCGTCCCATAAGCTGTTTTCTCTTCCAGCTTTTCTGCTACCTGTAGAATATTATTAACGTCTTCTTTCTTGGACGATGAAACAAATTTATCACTCAAGTAACAGTCCAAAGAACTACTAACTGAAGTCGAAGTTTCTTGCTTTGGAATGATGTCCGCCACTTCTTGCTTCTTGTGAGTGTTTTGCTTTGGCGTCGATAAAACCCGTGATGGAGTATACTCGTTATCGCAGTTTTCACCTAAATATTTGGCTCTTATAGCAGGATTGAGTCTGCCAGGTTTTGGCGCTTCTTCGACAATAGGCTCAAACCTCGACCTCCTCACTTTATGCTTCCCAGTAAAACTATGCGGTATGGAAGGAGGAGGATACTTTGTGTCGTTTTTTAAAAACGGTGTTAGTTTTGATCGTTCAAATACACCCAACACTAGTTTGCTGCTGTCTGCTTTATTCTGGACTTTCTCCTTTTCAGCTGCTAATTCAAAATCATACTTTGACATATCTTCTTTCATATAAATATCATCGTCTTCGTTTTCAAAAGCTCCCACCCCAAATGCTTGACCTGCTATCGAAAGTTTTTTGTTGTTTCTATCTGTTACTTTAAACTGAGTTTTATTTTCCGCAGGGAACAGGCTAAAATGGCTTTTGTCCAAGCCTGAGTAACCCAATCCAAATGTGTTATTTTTCGGCTTCGCCAAGAACTCTTTGTAGATTGCCGGTATCTCATACTGATTACTATCATTAAAATTCACAGTTTCATCTATCTTAGGCATCTGGCATCCATATGATTTTTCTGTAGGCGCTTCCACTTTTTTACTTCGTCTATCTTTAATGCGCAAATTCTTCAGCAGCATGTATCCAATCGTTTCATTGCCACTTGTTATAATATTATGTAACACGGGCTCTCCAGGAATCGGTCCATCAGCAAATATCTAGAAATTATTATTATTATTTGAAACCACTTCAAACTCTATCGCCAAACTTACTTGTTTCTTTCGTTTTCGACTAGTGTTATAATCATCAGTAGCTCGGACAACTTGAGGTGCAATTCCATCTTCTCCCAAGTCTTCGTCATCCATATAGTCCTCGGGTCTTTGATGTATCTTTTCAGACTTTTCGGCTCGGGAGCTTTTGAATTCACTGGGCAGCCAACCTTCCAAAGATCCAACAGTATTGAAAAATCCTGCAGAAAATCCGCCTGTAAAAGCTCCGTGAAACCTTCGTCTTCCCTGAGCATCTGTAGCGATTTGTTCTTCCACGGTAATCGGTCGCTTTCTAGGTACTGCATCTGAAATAGGTTTAGAGGTTTGTTATCTCAACAAAAAGTAGCGACTCAATGAGTAAAAAGTCTGGAAAACCGCACTAAGGTGAGCATGTTGTTACCAGGGAACAAGAGGGTCTGATTACCCAGATACTTATCCTCACTTTCAACCCGAAAGAGTTCTTGCGATTACATTGCTAATTTACTTACCTTCATCGTATGGATCGAGTGGTTTTCCATAAAAGCAAAACTGCTCAGTGTCTTCGTCAGATTCCGACATTAAAGTGCAAAATTAATTTAATTTTGTTGGGAACAACAAACAAAACATTCAGGCTCCCATAACCTAAAATTTGACAAGTGTCAAGGGATTGGTCAACGAAGTTTGTAAAAACCACAAAATATCTCCCCTGGGGGGAAGTACTGTCAACCACAGATTAGTCTCTAACATATAGTAAGTAAATTTTACTTTCTCTATGGTCTCTAACCTTTGTGATCTGTGCTGTCAACTTTGCATTTCCCGACTAGGAAGTTAATCACAAAATAGCCCAGTTAACAAAATAGTTACAATGGGGTATGTTCTGTGAAGTTGATTCAATGAAAGAGCTGATGTAACACTAATGACTGACTCTATTTACATCGTTTAGTTCATAATAATTTATAATGCAATCAGTATTCGAATTGTCCAGTTGTTTTCGTTTATTTCTTCAACACGTTGTCGATCCACAAAGTCAACTTATCTTCGTCCTGTAGTCCAACTAGCCTCTCCTTGACCTTCCCATTTTGAAACACAACAAGCGCAGGAATAGTGCTAACCTTTAAACCAAAAACGATCGATGAGAAATTGGAGTTGTGTTAGGTACTTTGCTTCAACTACCTCATATTTAGCTGCCAACTCGCCTAAATCATCAATATCAACTTTTGCCACGGAAATATTTCCTTTCCTTTGGGCTATAACGTTTTCTAGTCTAGGAGCCAGAGCTTTGCATGGTCCACACCAACTGCAGTAAAAAATTATCTACATGAAAAGTGCAATTTTAAAAGCATGTATTCGACTAAGGCTGGTACTTACGTAGCGAAAAAATCAACAATCACAGTTTCCTTGCTATTCTCCACTTTATCCACAAAATCCTTGTCATCCTGAACCTTAAATGAGCCGGCTTTCTTTTGAGTCGTTGCCAGTGAGCGTTTACCAATGTCTGACAGTTTTCGTGCAATATTCTTTACTAATAAATTATTCATTTTGATTAATACGATTAATTTCAGATGTATTTACTTTTGTTGACTAGAATCTGTGATCGAGTGCCAGAAGAATCTATGGCTGACACAATTGACAGGTTACACAGATCGCATCACAGAGGATGTGATGCTGTGATCTGTGGATCACATAGAGAAAATTAAATTCAAGTTTATACAGGTTTATCTATCAGGTTAACAGATCTGAGAGGTTATCTGTGCTTTATAAGTATCTCTTTACGATTATTCCTTATCTAGAGAGAAGTATTACTTCCCTTGAGGGCTATAGAGTAAATAATTTCTTCAATTAGTAGTTAAAAAAATTTCCTACGTACTTTTTAGCGAGAGTCAGATAAATGTGATAATGTATTAATATTACACAATTGAGCAGGTAGGTATTTCATCTATTTTCTATTCTTGTAAAGTCATATGCGGAAGATTATTTGAAATAATAACCAGATTTTCCATCAGAATTTACATTATTTATTCAAATAATAATCTAAGCCTGTAACACACAATTTGATAATTAACATAGCCAAAATCTTACACTACGCAAAGTCACACCTATTCCACAGTGATGATTTCTTGTTACTCTGGCAGGTAGTCAATACTAATTTCTTCCTCTATGTTAGTAGGAGACATTTCTAAGTCCCCAATCATATCATTTGATTCGCTAAATATTGAGAAGTTATTTGATTATTCATCAATAATTTATTGCAACCTTTGATGCATAGGGCATTATATGACTGGTTTATAACAATTGCATATACAATCCTTACCTGTCCAAAGAAGGTTCGTTGCTAAACATTTCAGTAGGTACAGTTGGAGGGGCCCTTTCAGGTACTAAATCTAGAAAACTCTGAGATTGCAAATGCCGTTCTACTTCCTCAGGAGTCATGTGACCATCCGATAGAACAGTTGTAGTTGGCACTTGAAGTTGCTGAAACATGAGAAAAAGATCACTTTCGCTATTCGAAATTTCCTGAACGTTGAGGAAACAATGGAACTTGCAATTAGGAGCAATCGATAATTTTATAACAATATCTGGGAATAATTATTATTTCTGAATATTTTAGAGAGTTTTTCTTTGACCAATTTACCCTTAAAACATACAGAAGCTTACCACTGCGTGATGCACTTGCTTAATTGATAGTCGAGAAGATGCAGGTCTTTTCTTCTTCGCTGCAGGTATTGATTTGCCGGAATTTATATGTTGAGTAATTCCACTGTTGTGAGGTAGATCTGGTTTTCTCCTATCATGTAATTTATTATTGGTACAATGCACAACTGCTTTTAAAGAGAGGAAGCAAAGCGTGATTGTTGAAAGCTCTGGGCTATATTTTTCAATTTAGGTTAAGTAGTTTCTTTCAATTTCAGATATCTTTGGCAAAGCATAGCGCCACCAGGCAAATAAAGCAATTTACTTAAGAACTTTTACGCTTGAAAAGGAGCAACTTTTTGTTAATAACATACTTCTTTGAAGGTTCAATTTTAACAGTGGAGGGTTCCTCATCAGATGATTCCGTTTCTTCTGATTCTGAGGTAGAATGATCTAGTTTTTCGTGAATTAATAACCGATCCAACAAGAAGGACCTGTCCCTTGTTACTTGCAACAACCTCTTTTGGGATTTCCTTAGGGCCACCTGAAAACTTTCGTTTTCCTAAAAGAACAAGTTTGTTAACTAAAAAATGGAACTATTTTTAGTATATAAATTGATCATTTACGTAAACAAGATGTTGAAATCTGTTTTTTAACGCTTTGTATTCTTTCTTGAATTTTGACTCTTCCATTGCGTGTTCTACTTCTTCTGCCTGAGCGGCTTCATTGGCTATAGATCTACAATACCATCCGTCTAGCATTTCTTGAGGTCATTAAATAAAACACTATCTGGCTGAATATTAAATTCAAACTGATGCCTTTACTATACTAAACTATACCAACAAATTCATTGTTAACTTTATTTATGCTTATGAAAATAAAAAGGTTAAGTTCACCACAGATCACAGAGGTTACTCTGAGATAAAGAGGCGAAGTTGACCGCTTATGTTTATCATAGATAACGTAGGAATACGACCCATTTAATGCGCATGCGTTAACTGCAGATTATTTACTATCATATGCTTTTACAACTTGTTAAAGTTGTAAAAGTTAGTGTGAAAGTTGTTAGTTAAACCTATAAGCCTTGTTCTATGGTACCTATATGAGTACAATACATTTTTTCCAACCGTAAACCGTCTTCTCGTTCGTTTCAAGACATATTTTGTTTTAAATATTCATTCGCCATTTTCTCCAGACACTGTAGTTACTAGGGCTCGGAAACAAACTAGAATAATTCGAATATTCGAAAAGCGAATAATTATGTGTAGTCATAACTCGTCATATTCGAATACTAGAATAATCGAATACTCGAATACACCAACAGTATCAAACTCACAAGGTGCAAATATCTTTATATGCACTTTGTATACTTTTATAAAATAAATTATTCACATTCTACAAGCATTTAAACAAATACCCATATATTTACAAGCAAATGAAAATAATCATATTTACTCTCCTGCAAATGAATGTAAAATTACGTCTCTGTGTTCTGGAGATACGCGTCATCAACTTTTGCGCGGTGTTACAATTAATGTGCCGACAAAGGCATATTTTTATCCGTTGCGGCTAGTTGCCAAAAATGATATGAGAAAAACGATTTTTCTTCTTGGAAAACGGTGAACGGAAAACGAACACTCGAATATCTAACGAATACGAATAGAAACTGGAATATTCGAATACTCGAATATTCGTTAGATATTCGAGTATTCGAGTAATTTTACTATTCGAATAAACCACTAAACGAATATTCGAATATCAGATTTTTTAAAATTCCGAGCCCTAGTAGTTACCATGTACTGAGGCAATATCAGGAGCAGAAATTATCCTATCGAGCGTAATCCTATTTTTTGTCGTTGAAGGTACTCTGTATTGGCGCACTTTCGCTGGCACATGAAGCTTTCGTTTCGTATCAGGGCAGCAGCATGTTTAAGGAGGTAGCCAGCAAATATCAGGAGCAGGAGTTTAACGTTACGCTATTTTGTGTCGATGAAGATGCTTTCCATTGGCCTCCTCCTGACGTTCACTCGCAACCCCCGTCAATATGCTGCTGCCCTGATGCAAGTGAAAAATGTGTATTTGCCAACTACTCAGAACTTCTTCAGAAGATTCTTCTCTGCCATTGCTTGGCGCATCCGCCATTTTGTTCACAAGGGCAGTTTTTTACTAGCCAATCATAGTTTTCAAAGGAGACATTTGGGGATCAATAAAAGCAATTTAATCCAGCATCCACTTTATCGGTTAGTTAGGTGATGGAGCAGTTTTCCTGTAGGAAAAAACCTACTGATTCTAATGTATAAATTCAAAAAGAAACTGCGGAGTCAAAATGTTGTTGTTCAGATCGAAATTTTAACCAGATCATCGGTTGTTTCTCTAAATTTCATTAACAAATTTTAGCAGTTCGGATCCGGACCGTCGAAAATTTTAGTTTTTGCCCGCTTTAGAAAACATTATAGTATAGATTTAAATACTTTTCCTGCCATATTTGTACTGAACTTTCAACTGGCCCACATGGATGGTACTGCAGATATTCGGCAGCCACTCAACGATAAATGCGTTATTGCAATTGTCGCTCTCATCCACTGTGGATTGCCCCACATTGAGAAAGAAAATAAACGCCGAATGGTACTGAGTGTGGTTCCCTCGTTCCTCTACTGATTCATTGTCGTCGTACTCTATGTACCCTTTGTGGTCGGCGAGGATGAATTTCTTCGCTATGCGCAACTTGACCTGAAAAGATCCAACTTTTATTAAGCTGGAGTAGAATTCATAACTCACTTTGGGCGTATCAAAAATTTCTTTAACGTGGTTCACGTTCATTATGCTGTAGAATATAGAGCCCATCGCTGTTTTTTGCTCCTGGTAACCGGCAGGAATTCGGCAACAAAACGCTCCAAAAAAATCCTAAAAAACACCGTTTCAAACCGACGTTTGCTGCGATATAAGTCCATAGATGCTATCTACCTCGGGAATATAAAAAACCTGCGTGTTGACGATGCCGCAATTGATAAATTGCATCGTTTTGTTTATTGACTCGGTCACAAAACTGAGCCAGTCGGAAAACATCCAGCTGACCACCTTGTCCATTGGGTTGGACATCAGGGACTGCTCATTGAGCACTTTGATTTCTATTGGGTAGATTTTTGGGGCAATTTTTTTACATCGCTTGATCAGGTAGCGTTCCTTCTTACTGTGCACTGCTGGCTTAGGAATCTCCTAACAAAAAATATGGTATATGTACATATTGTACCGTGGATGGCCGGGTATCAAACCCTTTCTGCACTCAGTCGCTGCTGTCACTTCACTCCCCTTTGGGTCTCCTCGCCGCTTATACAGGGTTTATAAACCGTTTGATTTTTAAAAAGTAATATTTTATTAATTGTCCGGCGCCTACCGAGCGCACATTTTAAAAATATTTTTGTAATGTACAGTCCCAAAGGCTCTAAAGTTATCAAAGTTGCGTTTTTTTTAAATGGAATGTCCTGTATGTTATTGCATTTTTGGATTCGCTGAACAAAATAAGTGTCTGTTTTAATAAGATTTATAATACCTAAAACTTAAGGTTTTTTAAATAATACGAATTTAATCAAAATCTAATCTAATTTTCATGTGTCAAATACTTTAGAAGTATTTAAGTTATGTAAGCATAATTTATAGTGAAGTGTAACAAGATATAATATTTTATATCCCAATGATAATAAACTTACCATGTTATACAGGGTGTCCACAAATTTAAACTAATCACATAAGAACTTTAAGTGGCTCTAACTTGATTAATTTAAATACAACCCCATATTTTTTAACTTACCAGGAAATGAAATTTTTAATTACCTATCGAATGGTATTAGGATGTTAATAGCTAAGTTTTTGCCTTTTTACAAAATACGTCAAATAGTCGTTCTGTGCACCATTTGGTGATGTTTAATTTAAGGTTCCAATGTATCTAAGTTGGCTATGCCATTTACACATGTCAAATAATTTATTTTATTTGTCAGTTTAGACTGCAAAGTCTCTTTTTGATAGCTAGAGTGG